CCTGCCCCCCCACGGCAGCCCGGTTGCGCTCCCCCGCTGGCGCGGCCTCCCCAGCCCCCTGGAAACCCCAGGTGGGCCCTCCCCGGCCCCCCACGCTGGCCTGTCCTCCAGAGGCCCCCCTCCCCCACCCTGGCCCCCACCGACCCCGCGGGGGCTACGCAGCCCCCTCTACCCCAAGACTCGCGGGGGGCTGGCGGCTGTCCTGCCCCTGGGCTCCCAGGCCAGGCCAGCCGGGCCTGGGGGGTGCTGCTGAGGCTGGCAGGGCCCCTCCCTGCAGGCAAGGCCCCCCCCTGCAGGCCAGAGGAAGGGGCATTGCCAGAGGCGAAGTGTAGCAGGCCAGACCCCACAGTCCAGTTGGTAGGAGGAAGCGGGCAGCTGGTCTGCACCCGGCTCCTCTCCTGACCTTTCAAAGTCTGGGCGCTCCTCAGACCAGAGTGGCAGGAGCCCCAGCTGGGCGTGAGGGAGGGGCGGCTGGGGCCCCCACAAGCTCCTGCCACACTGGGCTCTGCCGCTTACTCTGATGGGCAGCCTGTGGCTGGAGAGGAACCAGGCCCAGTTGGGGGGCATCCCTGCAGGAGCAGGAACCAGAGAAGGCCCAGGCCAGCACACAGATTGCCAGGATGGACACTGGGGCCAGGCAGGCACAGGAGCAGATTTGGCTGTTGGTGGCAGGGAGCAGAGGGTGCCATCCCTCCTGGGCAGAGGCTGTTGGCCTAGGCTGTTGGCCTGGCTCCTCATCTGGAAAGTGGCATAGCAAGTCTCCTCCCAGCCACACTGACCAACCCCCAAACAGAACGTGGGGAGGAGGGGGCTGGGCTGTGCAGAGGTCACTTCTGGCTCCGCCCCAGAAACGGGGTCCCAGAAACGGGGTCCCAGAAACAGGGCTGGTATCTGCCTGAGTGGGAAGCCCAAACCTGCCAGGGACCAGGGGTCCATCTGCTGTCCCTCCTTGGGAGCAGCAGAGGGCCAGGGCCAGTCCTCGGGGGAGCACAGAGCCAGGCTGGGGGTCCCATGTCTCTGGCCCCACATGAGCCCCACTAAAAGTGGGGAGATTCCTACCAGCCACCTGCCCTACCCTTGGGCCCAAGGCCTCTCCCCGACTCCCGCCTACACAGAGAAGTGGCCACACTGCCCCCAGGCTGTCGGGGCAGCACAGAGTGACCCCGGGCTGGCCCAGCCACAGGGCAGGCACACCAGGCTTCCCACGGAGGACCAAGCCACATAGCAGCACATGCAGGAACTGCCAGAAGTAGGCCGGGGCCGGAGGGCAGCCCACATGGGGCCCAAGGCCACAGCCAGGCTTCCCGCTGGGGAGGCCCAGGCCTCCAGGCCCAGGGCAGAGCAGGGCTTACAGGGGCCGGGCAGGTGGGACGCGCAGTCTGACAGGGCATCTGTCGAGAGGAGCCTGGCCAGCTGGATGGGGCCATCGGTGGCTTGGGGGCCCCTTGGGCCTGGGGTGATGTCATGGCCCCTGGGGGTCTCTGGATGAGCCCAGCCTGACCACGCCGCCCAACCGTGGGATGCAGAGAGCTGGGCTACAAGAGCCGCTGTGGGGAGGGAGAGCCCGGCCGCCTCTGTCTCCTCTGCAGGTCAGCACCAGCCCCTCTGGGCCCTCCGCGCCTGGGGCAGCGTGGCCTGCTGCCACTCCTCTGGGACCAGGCTGACCCTGGGCTTCAGCTGCCAGCCTGTGGGGTGTTCGAGGCACCCCCACTCCTGCACGGCAGGGCTGTCCCAGGCTGGCCAGCCCGCCTAGAGGTGCAAACTCCCATGGCCTGGAGCAGGGCTGGAGGCTGCAGGAGGCCCAGCCCCGGGACACCAGCACCAGCACCATGGCCTGCAGCCTGCAAGCAGCTGGGCGGGAGCCCCAGCGAGGCGAGGACAGCCGGGGTCCTCCGAAGCCATGGGATAGAGGCCACAGCACTTGTCCCTGGTCCACTGCGACACTCAGCATGCCCCTCTCTGGACTGCCTGTGGGGCCAGTGGCCATCCACCTCACCATCAGGTGCCCGGGGGAGCCACGATGCCCCTTACCCCTGCCCCCGCCTTGCCCTTCACGCATTCTTGGGCTGTGGTTCCTCCCATTCAGAGGTCCAGCAAAAGGGGCCCGGGCAGTGTTAGCTGGGCAAGCTTCCTGGAGGAGGGGGCCTTGCAGTCTTGGCGAAGTGGGCAGCAGTTAGGGTGCCCTCGGGCCTGGTGGGCGCTGGGCAGCAGGCTAGTGGCAGCGTCCTGGCCCAATCAGCCCCGTGACGGGGGCAGGACAGTGGGAGCAGGGGGGAGTGGGACGGGCCTCGCCGGCCTCAGGCTCAGGCTGGCCCTGCCACACCCAGATCCCGGCCCATCTCCAAGTTCTGGGACAGCGCCCACCGCCCTCCTTGCCCTCCCTGCCAGGCCTCCTCCACCTGGGCCTCACGGCGTCCGGAGCAGGGCCCTGCCGCCCACCCTCACCCGGCCGGCCAGACGGTGGGGTGGCGCCTCCTGCGCCCAGCTGGGTGCCAGCACCGCCTCCCGTGCCGGAGCGTGGCCCAGCCCTGGGCCCGTGAGGCCAACCCCAACCCTGGAGGCATGCCCAAGCCCTGGATCCAGCCCTAGGCTACTGGGCAGGGTGTGGGTGCTGCCCCAGGGCACAGGCGTCCAGCTCCCTGTGGACCCCCCAGCTCCTGGGCTCCTCGCCCCTGTGTTCTCACCCCAGTCTGACCCCGGCGGGACCTGAGAAGGGGCAGGAGTGCGGGCCAGGCCCCCTGCCCCCAGGACCCTAAGGAAAGGCACTGAGCCAAGCTCAGGGGGGTGGAGACCGCGGGGCCTCCAAAGCCATCTTCTGCCAAAAGGGGGCGCTGCGGGCCAGGAAGGCGCGGAAGGCGTTGTTCGGGCCGCTGGCCCTGAGCGGGTGGGGCAGGAGCGCGTCCCGGCACACGTCCACAGACACCAGCCCGGCCACCAGCTGCTGGGTGTCCTGCGGGCGACAGCGGGTCAGGCCCGGCCGCGGGGCGGGAGGCTGGCCTCCCCCCGCCCCACGCCCACGCACCGCCAGGGCGGAGCCCTGCTTCTCGCCCTGCAGGGCCAGCTGCCGGCGCTCCTCGATGCTGAGGCTCCAGTGGCGCCGCGGGCTCCCACTCGGCGGGGGCTCGCACACCTGCGGGGCCGAAGGTTGGCTCAGGCACTGGGGGGTCTGCGCCCACCGGCCTGGCCCCGCACCCCGGAGTGGGAGCCAGACAGCAGGTGGCGACACTCACGGCCCTCCTGTTCCCCAACTGCCCAGGGCTCACACTGGACCCCGCAGGCCAGCCTCGCCCTCTGCTGCCTTTGGATGGGGCCCCAGGACCGGCCCTGGCCCGGCCAGGCCTCGATCCTGGACGAGGCTCGTGCTGCCCGCCGGCGCCTGTCCCTGCTCACGTCCTCCGGGCGGGCGGGCGGCCGGCCGAGGAGCACCTGCTGCAGGCGGCTGCGTGGGTGGGCCCGGGCCAGGGCCCTGGGGGTCTGTTCTGGGCCGCCAAGAGCCCACAGCTCTGCACGGTCTTGCAGGGCCCAGGGCTGTCTTCCGCAGGTCAGCACTGGGCAGCACCTGTCCCTCGGGCGCCCCCCCACTGAGCTCACGGAGTGGGGGGCCCTCGAGCGGGCTGCGGACACTTGGCCTCGCCCCCGGGCCGCCCCCCACGCCCGCCAGGCAGCGTGGGCCTCGTCTCCCCCAGAGGGCTCCCTGCCACAGCTGGACCCCCTTGCCCCAGAATTGTGGCCACTGCTCCGCTCGAAAAATGCGAGGTTAGCTCTTGCGTTTTAGGGGCGATGGCGCTGGAGTGCAGGGGCCCGTGCGGGGTTTGGGCTCAGACTGGCCTCGGTCCGCCCCGGCCTTGGCGGCACCAGCGCCCTGCCCGCGCTGCAAGCACCTTGGCCTCTTCCGGGACCTTGGCCCCCCGGTCCAGGCTGTGTGCTGCCTCGCCTGCCCACCTCCAGCTCGAGGGGATGAGAGAGGTGGGGGTGGGGTGCTGGATGGCTAAGGCTGCCCCTGGGGCCTTCGAAAGCAGGGTCCTTCCTGCCAGCCTGGCTTCTGTCCTCTGGACTTTCCGCCCCCTGGTCCATCCTTCCCTCCGGCCTTCTAGGGGTCCCTGAGGGTGCAGCACCAGGACCAGAGCCCCCATGGGGCTGGTGCCCAAAGGCCCTGGGAGGGCATCCCCCAACGCTGGCCCCTAGCAGCAAGCAGCTCCTTTGAGAACAAACCCCCTGGCCTTGTAGGGTGGCCCCCAGGGTGGCTCAGGGGAGGCTGGGCATGGATAAAGGCATACAGGGGGGCTCTGGCTCAAGTCAGGACCCCCAAGATGGGGCGTGGGGGGAGGGCTCCACACAGCAGGGGCTCTGGGGGCACGGTGGAGGGTCACCTCAGGGCCAGTCAGAGAAAACAGCTGGTCCTGGGCTGGCCAGCCCAGGAGGAGGGACCCGACACACGGGCGGCACAGCGGGGACCCAGAGAGCTGGGCCTGCTGGCCAGTGGCAGGCTGGGCATGGTCCCTCCCCAGCTCTCAGGGGCTCTTGGGATGTTCTGGCCAGTCCTGCCTGCTGCCCACCAACAGGAAACAGGGCCCGGTCCCTGCCGTGGGGCGGCTCTCCCTACAGGCGGGCGCCATGGAAGGGGGCCTCCCGGGCACCGGCCAGCGACCTCTGAGAGGTCCTGCCAGGTCTTGGGGGTCTGCCCAACCCGCCTGCTTCCCGCCAGGCGCGCTCAACCCCTGCCCCAGCCCTTGCCCATGCCCACCTCGCACCCGCCCACATCGGGCCCTGGGACCCAGAGCAGAGGGCTAGCCCCTGGGCTTACCCAGTCCTGGGTCAGCGGCCCTGGCTGGCTGGTGCGTGTAGAGGCCCAGGCCCCTGGCTGCTCGGCACCCCAGGGGGGCTGCCTCCCGAGAGGCGCCCCACGGTCCACATCCAGGCCCACGGGCTGCTGTCTGTCCCCCTCAGGGCCAGTCCCCAAGGCCTCCTCTGGCCTCCTGGCTGGTGGGGGCTCTGCAGCAGGTGGAGGCGGGGAGGATTCCGCTCCGCCCACACAGCGAGATTTGAGAATGTGCCCCATTGGGTAAATGGGGCCTTTGGCCCCCTACTTTCCCTACTGGGACTCCTGGCCCTGCCCGTGCCCCCGGGGGCCTGTGCTGGAGCCAGACCTGCAGGGTCCTGCCAGCCACGTCGCCCTGCCGCCCACCCCTGTGACTTCACCTTGACGCCGCCAGACCACACCCCAAGCCAGCCTCAGCGTAGCCCCCGAGGACCCCGGCGATCCTCCGGGTGGGGGTGGGGTGGG